GGGGGGGGGGGGTGAGGCCTTGGGTGCGTGTCTTGCCAAGGAGATAGTTGTTCCAAATATTTGCTTGTGTGTAGCCGGGAGGGAACATTCTTGTTATGACCACCAGCAACCTTCTCTCTCATTAAGGGACCCCAGCGTCCTGGCAAACGGGCACTTGTCATTGACTCGAATTTCGCTAAAATTTTGAGGTCTACGGGAGCCCAAAAGCACCGTAGTGACATCGCTGCTTGGCACGACACCAAGTCATGCATGCACACGCACACGCTTAATCTACCTTCTCACCGATGTAGCGCGCTCAACCAACCATGTTAGGGTACCTTATCCTTGCCATGCTATGTACACGTATGTCGGCCATATCGTCCTTCAAGGGGGGGGGGGCAAGCATGAATATTTTGCTTCGTCTCACCGATGTACCCAGGCCTAGAGTTCCGGTAGTCGATGTAGTACGCGTGCTCCCACACCTATCATCCATAGAAATAGCGGGAGGACGGAGAGAGAGAGGTAAACACTTTTTTCGCATCTCATGACACCCATTACTCCAAAACAAAGTAACCAATTCCACAAGGTTCAAACTCCACCTACACCAGAACCACATCGAAGACCGGACATTTCTAGTTAGCTAAAGCGCAACAGCAACAGCAACAGCAACAGCAACAGCCGCAGCTCCGCCACCACAACAAATGCCCACAACAAACATCACCAACACCATCACCATCACCATCACCATCACCAACACCATCACCATCACCATCACCATCACCATCACCATCACCATCACCAACACAGATCAACACCAGAAGCAGCAGCAGCAGCAGCAGCAGCACAGCAGCAGGCGTTACTCACGTCGCATGTCAGGATGGGGGTGCCCTTTCCCTCCTTGACCGGGTTGGACGCGTCGTGGGTTCCCACCACCTGGCAAGAAACAAACAAAAAACACACAAGAGACAAGCGTACACATGCATCGTAAACCAAGAAAACAGCGTACCTACGTAGCTGCACAGGTAGACAAGCCAGAGATAGATTCACTCAATGGCGGGAAGACATGCCGTCTGCGGCATAAAGTTACACAAACAACGTCCTTGATGTCCCGCCGCTTCCTCTCCATATCCCTTCACGTCGACGACGCCTAGTTCAACATAGTTTTCACGCCTGTGTGATAGCGGCCTCCACACGTGCGAGAACATCCACAAATCATGGTCTACACTCGTCAACACACACACCTTAACAACACGATATGCACCCGTTCATGACGTTTGCCCCCCCATCCAGGAACCTTGATTTTCCGCCGGCCCTTTCATTTGTCAGGCGGTTCGCGCGGCCGATGCTAATCAACAAAACACACACACACACACACACACACACACACACACACCACATCACGGCCTTCAGCCGCATTTATGTTTTTCAACCGCAACTGCACTGAAGTCCTTTCATTTGTCAGTCGGTAAGCGCGGTCGATGCCAATCCAACAAAACACACGCGACAAACGTACATCCACTCCCCCGGACTCCGTCTTGACGAGCCAGGCCCACCCAGAGCCGAAGTGCCCCGCGGCGGTGTCGCTGAAGGCCTTCTTGAACGCCTCGAACGATCCGAACTTCTCCTCGATGGCCTCCTTAACGGCCCCGGTGGGCTCGCCGCCCCCGCTGGGGCTGAGGGACTTCCAGTAGAAGGTGTGGTTCCACACCTTGCGTTTCGCCAAAAAAGAGCGGGACGAGATGGTTGCTTGAGGCGAAGGGACATCGTACTTCTTTATATTTTTGTAATTCTCATTTTGACAGTATGACCGAAAGAATCCATCTCTATCTTGAGATGAAGAGTCAGACAGATTGGCAACGGATTCATAGCGTCAGCGATGATTTCGTACACCGAAATCGTTCTACGCTCAACAAGTTTCCAGTAGACGGTGTGGTTCCACACGTTACGTTTTGCCAAAAGAGAGGGGGACGAGAGATGGGTGCTTGAAGCGGAGAGACATATGCTACAATTTCGCAAAACCAAGTCGTTCCAGGCCCAAATTTCACGTGTCCAGTGGAAGCTGCGGTTCCACACCGTACGAACTTTTAGAGAGGGGAAAAAGGGTATGGGGGTGCTTTAAGCGGAGAGACACATCGTAGTCCTCCCGTACAACCGAAGTCGTTCAACGCTCAGGTTTCAGCTCCTTCCCCGTGCGTGTGTTGTGTCTTTGCCGCAGCCCCATCCGTTGCTCAACCATTTACCAAGTTCCTCTGCCTTCCGAGAGAGCACGGAGGCAGGGGCACCGCCAGCACTCGGGCGCTCGTTCCTTTTTCCTTTTGCAGGGGGGGAGGGGGGGGGGGGCCGAAGGTGATGCTTGCCCAGTGCCATTCGAAATTGATCTCGCATCCAGACCGCTGCAAGGTTATGCCAAAAACTCGCAAACCCTGTCCGGCTGTAACTGAACGACAGCTTTCTACATAATGTGGACAGCAGTGTGGTACCATACAAGGGAGCCGTAGATACCGTATTCAGGACCCTTCAGAACCCGTCCGTCCGCATCACTTCATGTAAAAAAAAAACCCCGGCTATTTGAACCGTTACTCGAGATGTTTCCAAAGCCGGTAGGACCCTGGTTTTCTCGTTTGCCGCGTGCGCTCTGTCAATCGCTTGACCTGAGCGGTATTGTTGAACATGTCAGCAAAACAACACCATAAATACCGTCAGCTACGACTTCCTGACCTGAGCGGCGTTGTTGAAGACGCCACCGGAGGACGTCTTCATGATCTCGTCCAGGCTTTTACCCTCCAGCTCGGCGTTGCTGGAGATGGCCGCGTTGAGCTTCGTCACGTCTGGCGACAAAAAAAATCAAAAAGCAGAGGAAAGAGAAAAAAAATCAGGTTTGAAATGACGCGCTGGCAGACGTGGGACGGTCGTGACAGGCTTCGTGACGTCAAGATTGAGGACAAAAAGGGTTGCCGGCGAGTGGGGTAGCGGCAGATACGATAGGCTTCTTCGCGTCGCTTCATGCCCAACTCAAAGAATATCCCTTGAGCTCACGAGTGTGACATTCCGATACCACACACCAAAATCAGTAGGAAGCGGTTGCCTTGCCATCACATCTGAGTGGGGCAACGTTGGAAAAAAAAAGCAAAAATGGAAGGTCGCATTACAACGCTACCTTGCGTGCGCCCGACAGCACAGCAGAGAGCGGGGATGACACGACGCGACAGGACAGGACAGGACAGGACACACGCTCAATCAAGCGACACGCAAGGCCGCGTACAGCAGTACTCACAGGCGGCGTGGTGCTTGCCGTAGTGGTACTCGATGGTCTTGCCGTAGTGGAGGGAAGGAGAGGCAAGAGATGAGGGCCGGCGGCGTGGGTGGGGTGAGGAGCACGCGCACGAGCACGGAACACGGTAGCAGCAGCAGCAGCAGCAGCAGCAGCAGCAGCAGCAGCAGCAGCAGCAGCAGAAAATATGTTAGAGGGGGCCGGGGAGTCGACGGCAGACGTATGCATACGAGTGGAGCGATGCGCCTCATGTGCGGGGCGGGAAAAAGAAACGGCCGAAGGCCCCCCGCGATTCGGGGAGCTGCGGACACACAAATGTGCATGAAAATACGTTAAGTTTAGCAAGAGATGGTAGAAACGGACGACGCCCCAACAACTTTTCACGGTTGAAAGCCTCGGTGATCACACGCAGCGGCGTAGGACGCCCGGGATAATCTACGTGCCCGTTCGGATTGAAACGACTTTGTGGACGGGGGATGTTACGCCGCGTCTCGCCGTATCCCCACACGGCTCTTACTCTCCCTCTCACGGCTGCTGCTGTCGTGTGGACCTTGGTCTGGTTATGGAGCAGCGGTTGACCATTCAAAGACACCAACTCATTTCTATTTTCAGAGATGCGTCTGTAACCTCGATAAGGAAGCGTCATTGACATTACAGCGGACGATACCTCACCGTCCCTTATCGTGACAGTGGTTGGGCTTTCTTCTCTCGTGGCGGTGTAACACGGACTGCGGCGTGATCGAGAGCGCACTTAGATGCATGCATGCGTACAGCAGGGAGAAAAACCGTTTGTCCGCGAAACATGCGAACAAAACTGGTGCAAACCTCAGGAGGAAGCAGAGACCTCACCCTGGCTGGTGTGGGACCCATTGGAATTATATTTTTCCCGCGGGGGAGAGGTGGGATCGATGGATGACCCAGGCCAAACGCGGGAGACTCAACCCCGTTGCGGTGAGATCGGGCATTTCATGTCTTGGATGTAACACCAAAACGGTCCCGGTACTCGTGAGTAATCTAATCATGGATCCGACATTTGGGGGCAACTGGGCAACTCTACAAAGAGTGTGAGCCTTGCTTGGCCTACAAGATTAAAATGCGAAGGCGCGTTCGTTGCTGCGAACATTGCGCTACTACAGCAGTCTTAGGGGGCCGTCCATAAGGTGGGCTATGTAGGTGGGTGCCTGCTTTTGGTGCGGGTGAAATTGCCTGGCAGAGATGGAATACTCGAATATTCACGGGTAACCCATTCAAAAGGGCGGGTGTCCTGTATCGGGTGGGTGAATTTATCGGTCTGGCGCAAAATCGAACAAGGGCAAAAACAAAAAACAGGTGCAGTAGGGGGGGGGGGGCGTACTCATTTGTTGCTTGCCGTAGTCGTTTGACCATTGACCACGCGTCCCTTTCGAGACGGAGCACCGTTCCTACCCCTACTAGAGACACCACCAACATTTGGGAGCTCTTTACGTTTCTGCCACAAACTACATAAAAATTCCTTGCACATGTTATCCCCGTCCTCTACGGCCTCTTGTGTCCACCATCTATCCCAATTACCGCGATCTTTTTTTCGCTGTTGTCTAATTTACCAAACTTGTCCATGTCACACCCTCTCTGTCTCATGTCCTCCTCGAGATCCTCTCTTTCCTTCCTGTACAGCTCACACTCCCCAACTATGTGGGGACTACTCTCCTCCGATTTGCCACATGGACATGTCTGTCTATCCTCCTCTTCCTCTCTCCTACGGCTGCTGTACCTCTTCCTCCGTTCTGGCAAGTCCAGATCGCCTACTCGAAATTGCAACTTCAGTTTTTTTGCGTAGTCCATGGGGCCGTCCAAGTAACTCTTCATCCCTATCCCTTCTTTCAACTTCGCGTATATCTCCAAGTGGTCTTCGCTTCGTACCTTCTTCCGAAGGGTTGCCTCCTCCCTACTTTCTAGCATCTCCTTGACTTTCTTCTTGAACCTCCCGAACCCTTCCGTGTCCAGTGTCTCCTCCTCGTCTCCTATCTCCTTCCAAACCCTCTATACCACCTTGTTCCATCTGATTCTTTTCTTCCCTGGAGTCGCTTTTCCCCAAGCTGCCTTGTCAACCATGGC